TTTAAATGACTCATAATAATTTTAAAGAGCAAAACATTTTTTTAATTCAATATTTTTAGTTTATTTAAGGCATTTTTTGCGCAATTTTTGGATTTTTAAGGGCATTTTTTGCCCTTTTTAAGGGCAGTTTTTGCACTTTTTAAGGGCATTAGTTGAGACTTTTTAGGTCATCAAAATCCGGGCTCTAGTTATTACAAATCAAGGTTAATAATTCCGAACGTCAGTTGATGACCCTGTCCCCCCCCCCCGTTGTCTGTTTTCAGATGAAAATTAATAATACCCTACGTTTATTTTGTTTGCATCATAGCACCATCGTATCCAGATAGCAAAATAAGGTTAACTCAGCAAAAACCTTTTAATGTAAACCTAAAAAGGTTTGTCATGCGATTTACGTGTAAACCTTCTAACCTTAAAACGAGATCTGTGACCATCTGCTCTTTTCTACGCACATTACCTTAATCCTAAATCTTGGAAACCAACCTTCTAAATAAAAACCTTAAATGGAGGTTGACTTAGGGTTTTCAAGCGTGAAAAAACCTTTAATAAAGCTATTCTCAAGGTGACAATAATCTTAAATCTAGGTAATTGTAAGGTTTCTTGTCGTTAAGTCTTGTATGCTCAGATAAAATCCACCTTGTCTTGAAATTTTAATGGACCATGCAATCTGATCCTATGGCTAGTGTGTAGTCGGGTAAAACGTAAATATATGGATCTATGTCTTTTGTTATCCTTTCTGGATTAAACGTTTGAAATTGCAATATTTTTGCTTTATTGAAAAAAAGGTTTTTATTACAAACATTTTCATGACAATAAAAATAAAATTCCGACAAAGGTTGCAGTAAGGTTACATGCTTTCTGGGAATAGTACCCTATGTTTATTTTGTTTGCCTCACAGCACCATCGTGAAAGTTTGTATCAAGGACCCCATACGGTAAGAGAAACCATTGGTTGCAAATTCTCCTTCAACTACGTAAGTTATGCAAAAATTAAAGGTGAGTTCAGGTAAAACTAGAGTAAACTATAAAGTTTTAAATGATGATGTAAATTTTCGAAAAAAAAAAATTTCTATTGTTGCTGATAAAAATTTGCCTCAAAATACAAACCTTTATCAGGCCGGATTACGCATAGAAGTAATCCTGCAATAAATTTGTTTGAAATTTGTAGCATTGAAAAGATTTTTTCAGCATTATAAATGAATTGTTCAATTCAATTCAATGAATTGTTCAAATTCTCTTCTTTTTTTTTTGACTTAAAAATTTTAAATTACCATTATGTGGAAATGAAACAGAATATGCCATGAAAAGGCTCTCTGACAATATAACTTCCTCTTAATGTCATTTGTGTTTGGCACAGTCTTTCTATTTATTAAATTTATCAAAATTTCGGAACTGTGAGTTGCAAATATTGAGTATTCATTTTAACTGAAATGATTTAATTTTTCGAAATTATGTTTTGTAATTGATTAATATTTTTATAGTGTCCAAATGAAGGAAGGTTTCTTATCTCCCGTTTTTTATATTATCATGTTCAAGCTTGTTCCCATATTGGTAACCCCCCTTTTTTTTCCCCTCATTACAATCTTGTTACTTACTCTAGTTATTTTGTGTTTCGATTCAGAGGAAGGTTCTAGTCTATATAGTTGATGGCCAAACTATTAGACGCACTATATGATTCTATGTAAAATCTTAATTATCAGGTGATACTGTACAGCTTTATTGTTTTTACGTGACTGAAACCGGTTTGCACTTGTTTACGTTCGTGTATCAATGGGTAAACATTGCAATACAATACGTTAAAAATAAATGCAAAGCATATAAGAAATCTCCCGGATACAAACCCATTGCATGCTTAAATATTAAAGTATTGCCTATAAACTCGTGCAAAGCATGTCATTATTAAAACACCACAATGCTACTAATAATTTGGTCTAATTATTATAATATACTAATATAATACCTGATATAATAAATATTCTGTATTTATATAATATATCGTGTAATATATACTATATATCGTCTAATTTAATCAATTATTACACGAACGTAAACAAGTGCAAACCGGTTTCAGTCACGTAAAACAATAAACATTTTACATAGAATCTAATAGTGCAGGGATGGCGAACCAATGGCACGCGTGCCATTTATGGCACGTGTCACAATATTTTGGGCACCCCATCGATCGCAATTGTTATTGCACTATGAATTGTTATTACACAAATGTTATTACATTATGAAGCATATGTAACAATTAAATTAAAATTCACAAAAACAAACAAAATAATAAACAACTATTAATAAAAAGATTAACAATTAATGCTAAAAAAACAATTAATAACAATAAAAAACAAGTTAACAATAAATAACTAGCAAAAGAAATCAACAATCCTGCTTAAACTAACATCTTAGAACCTAATATAAGTTATTGGTCATCTAATCTGCAGCAACAGATTGTCACACTGATGTTACTTTAAGTTGAATTACGCCTATAACTGAGACATTGCAAAATGTATTTTTTTTTCAATGTAAATAAAGAGTTTTGAGTTGATAGTATTTAGTATTATTATTTTCCCAATAATCACGAAGTCAAAATTATTTGACGGCACGTCTATGACATCATTAAACAACTTTTTAGAAAAAATGGCACGTTGGTGTATAAAGGTTCGCCACCCCTGTAATAGTGCGTCCAATAATTTGAGTGTAGTTGAGTGTAGTAATCGAAGCAATATTTTTGAGCATTTATTTGTGCTTTTATTCATATTGTTTCATTTCCTTCATTTTTATGATTATTTTACACATTATTTATTAATCTGTGTTGATATATTTTATTTTATATGCATTATTATGCATTGTTTATTGATGCATATTTCAGCACTGTAACTATTTTCAAATGAGTTAATTGCGGAATTCCTATTTGCTTTAAATTATTCAATTTGTTGTTCTAGAATATACTCACATTTTAGAGTCACTGTATATTTTATTCAGATTATAGTAATATGAAAGTGTAATTCACGAAAGATTAAAGACAAATTATTGTAAATAAATTTATCATAATTTCACTTTGATTATCTGAATAATCAGTACTATAATCAATACCGTCCATTAGAAATTTTTTAGATACATTTAAAATTGCAAGACATTAAACAAGATGTATTTTTTAATCGGGGTAAATCAGTTTTTATGCTCCAAAAAGATTTTGAACTAAATAATTACATTGGACATACAAAATAACAGTTATTCTAGGCCAGTGTTTCCCAAACTTATGACTTTTGTGTACCCTTTCTAAATTTTTCGTAACGTTGCGTACCACTAATGAAAAAATGAACACATTTTTTACTATAAAAAATTGCACAAAAGTTAAAAATTACAACTGGCTGTTGACATCACTAATTATTCACTGTTAACTCTGCAAAAAATAGTCAATAGAAAAATACGTAATCGTAAATTTTCATGGCTAGCTCTGTTTTTAAATAAATTTTTTTAAAGTTTTTATTTGTTGTAAGATATTTCGCATAAAAACGCTTACCCCAGCTAAACTGTTCCCGTATCCCTGGGGGTACGCGTACCACACTTTGGGAAACACTGTCATAGATGAAGGATGTCATAGATGAAGGATGTCATATATGCCATAGATAAGTAAGCAATGTAATCTAGGTTTCTTATTATATGCATAAGCGATTGAAATATAATTGGCATAACTTATAATCAGCAGAAACTTATGAATAAGTTGAAGCTTTTTCAAAGTTGGATAGATTAAATTATACGCTTTAATGTTATTGGAATCTAACAATTAGTTATTAAAGTTTGAGGCACAAATTTAGAGGTATACTTCTATAGTGAAAATTTTTTATTCAATAGTAGAAATTTCAAATTAATCAAGTTCTTTAATGAACAATAGAAATATTTTCTTTTCCAAAAATAAAGTCTAAAAAATTATACACACGACAATTAATGTTTCCTGAAGGGGGTGAAGGAAAACCCAAACCGAAATGTAAATAAACACTATTGAAGAAAGCAGGACTGAAAACATCAAAGCCTATTTGATTGACAGAGTATATTACTCTTTTTTTGGCCACCTCTGGCAATCAGAAGGGGATAAGGAGAGCAGGTCTAGTTACAAAATTTTAAATGTTGAACTTCGAAAAATATGCTTAAAACTTAAAAGAGACATATTTGTTTTACGATTGCTCACTCTTTCAAAGAAAATTGAAAGAGGATTATTAAAAACAACTCCAAAAATCGAAACGAATATTGACGTGTTTCATACCGCCTTCCTAAATAGTGATGCAACCGATTTCAACAGGATTTTAACCGCAGTATTAACCCACCAAACATTTTTGTTAGCACATCCGCCAAAAGAAATTTATAGTCAAAACACGTTCTAGCTAACTTTTGACTTAGAAACCTTCTTCAAATATTAACAATGCTAATGCTGGGTTTTGTCTTGCTTTACTTTCCCTTACGACGGCTCCGAAGAAGTAAGTCATTATATTTTTTAAAAAAAAACATATCCACAGGTTTAAAAGAAATAATTTCCTAATTTGGCTACTGATATTAATACAGTGAACTCACGCTACTACGATATCCAATACAACAATAACTCCTTTTATTGCGATAATGTTTCGTGGTCCCGACGAACTTGCATATTAATTAATGACATGCTCCTCTCAATATTATGATTTTCGTGCTTTGGACTTAATGCATACTTTGTTGGTTGACTTGATAGTAAAAAAAAATGAATAAAGAAACAAAAATATCGGATTATTTTCAATAAAAATGGCTTTCAGGTATGTTTAGGATCTTATTTTCTGAATTTATTTAAATTGTTTTTAATATTTAACCATAATAAACACTCTGCAAATAAATTTTTTTGTGTAATATATAAATACATTTATAGATAACATTAAAATTTAAAAAAAATCTTATTGTGTCTCCAAAGTAAGTAGGCCCTCTATATAACAGTATATACCTCTGCAACAATATATTTATTTGTTCCCCAAAATATTATTGTAGCCAGGTTTTACTTTACTGTTCGAACAATCGGCTTTTATTTCTAACTGAACTGGACGAGTAAAACACCATAAGTAGCTAGAGTTCCGACAACAGTTAATATAAATCCTCGCCTGATTGGAAACATTCCCCACGCCGTCACTTGAACTTCGTCTCGGAACACAGACATTTTCAACAGCTGCAGGAATTCTCTGGTCTGCACCGAACTCATGTCATCGTCTGGAAAATTTACAAAAGCTCTGGTCACTGCCTTGTAGTTCTCCTCTATCCTTGAAACACGAAATATGAGCAACATCGAGTGGAAACTGGTGGTCAGAAGCGCCCACAAGACGATCACGAAAATACGAATGGATTTATGGAGGCGCACCATCGGCACAATATTCGTCATCAAGGCGAAAAGCTCGCTCAAGAGGAACACCATACCATAGAACAGTGGTAAGGATATGGCATTTTCCAAGTCGTTAACAGTGTTCTGTATCTTCTTGTAACCTAGGAAGGCTCTCCGAGCTGCGCAGAACGTGTTGATATCGTTGGCGCAAACAGACATCTGTTCACACGTCTCAGCGACACTACAACTGACGTTGTGGGAGATGACAGAAAATAAGAGACACGTCATCTGTGCGTACACAAAACAATTAGTGATGTCATACGATCTCAACACGAACAGAAGAATGTATTTATAGTACATTCCAACGTCGACTTGAATTCCAAACGTCAGGAAAGTGAGGTGTTTGTGCACGTCGTCCTGCGTTACCTTGGCAATTAACATCACTGCTGCGCTGGCAAATGTCGGTAGGGTTATTGTTAAGAAGCATATAACGCTTATGAATGCTTTCTTGAAGTTTTTTTTGTTACGGTCATTTTCGTACTGCATTATGTTTTCATTGACATCCACTATTTTGTGGGTTTTCTTGTTAACAGATATCCACAGTAGAGAGCAACTCAGTAGACTCAGAATTTCAGTAACAGCCATTGGTCCTTTTTCATTAAGAATGAAATCGACAACCCTTATGGATAGAGAATACACGATTCCACCGATGCACAAAAAAGACGTAAAAACTCGTAAAACGCGTTCGCATGGTGATTTAATCGCCGTGATTTCGAAATTTATGCCCATATGCCACAGAATATCAATTATTAGATCGGGTGATTCGAGTCTGCAGAATTTTTTCCCCGTCTGATTCGTCTTGCAGTTATAATTTCGAAGAGAATTAATAATCTTTTTAGTTTTCATTGTTCTAAAATCTTATTTTTTTGTTACACAAAATATCAATAACTATCCAATATTAATTGCTTCATCAATTATCATCAGAATATGAATTACTACAGAATATCAGTAGATTCGATGATTCAAGTCTATAGAGCATTGAAAATTCTTTTTCCGCCTGATTCGTCTAACCGCAATAAACCTGAATAGAATTAATAATATTTTTAGTTTTCATTTCTCTAAAATCTCATTTTTTTGTTACACAAAATATCAATAACTACCCAACATCAATTGCTATATCAATTATCATCAGAATATGAATTACTGCAGAATATCAATAGATTTGATGATTCAAGTCTATAGAACGTTGAAAATTCTTTTTCCGTTTGATTCGTCTTACTGCGATAAACTTGAAGAGAATTAATAATCCTGTTAGTTTTCATTGTTCTAAAATATGATTTTTTTGTTACATAAAATATCAATAACTATCCAATATCAATTACTAGATCAATTATTATCAGAATATGAATTACTATAGAATATCAATACATTCGATGATTCAACTCTATAGAACGTTGAAAATTCCTTTTCCGTCTGATTTGTCTTACAGCTATAAACTCGAGGAAAATTAATAATTTTGCTAGTTTTCATTATTCTAAAATATGATTTTTTCGCTATGGTAATTAATGACACATTTCAAAAATGTAATTGTTTAAGGTTGAAAAAGAAATGTTCCAAAATAGTAATTTTGTGTAAAGATGAAAAACTAATGTTCCAAAGTGATAATTGTAAATTTAAAAAGCAAAATTTCTGATAACAGACTTGTCACATAAAATTCAAAAACATACGTTCCATCAAAAAAATTCTTACCAAACAGTAATTTTGTGAAATCGCAAAACAAACATTCCAAAATGGAAAGTGGTACATAAAGTTGAAAACGTATGTTCCAATGTATTGATTGTGGTACGAAGTTGAAAGACAAGCGTTCCAAAACAGTAATTGCCGTTCAAAGTTGAAAAACCACAGCTCCAAAAGTCCATCTTTGAATCAATTTCAACAGGAAAGCAAAATTTATTATATTGATCACTGCTACGAAAATCCGTACAGTTGAAGTAAGCAATGTAATCACGAAGCTGATTATACAACTTTTATATCGTTTTCAAATTATGAACGTAAAGCGATACTAAACTTATAAATTCAGCATTCTTTAAAACAAAATAAAACAATGTCAAAACTTTTGTGAGGCAGTCGTTGGCATCTTTTATGTTTCGTTAGACAGTCATAGTACTTCTGAAGTTAAAACATATTTTAAACTCACACATAAATAACAAGATCGACAAACAATTTCAGAGCAACCGCCTTTGAGTGTTAAGATCTTTTCAAAGAAAAAAGATGAGTTGGAAAAAAAATATAGCAAACGATAAATTAGTAAGAGAGAAACGACAGTTCGCAACGAGATGAATATTGCAGAAAATGAACTCCTTTTTATAGATATTCAATTACTTATATGTTTACGGATACTAAATAACACCCCTTGGTTGTTCAATAATACGAAAATATGATTATTCCAGCTGTCAATCAAACGAAGAAATTAATATTAGCCACCCATGACCTACTATTCTTTATGAATTGGGGGGTGGCAACAGTTTTACAGCAGTTATTATTAGTAGAAAAATCATCTTAGCCTTCATCATATTTATATGTAACGACTAAAAAAACTAGAAGACAAATAAACGAATAAAGGTTTTTGATATTTATATATTTTATTATCTTTTTCAATAAAACTTTCCGAAACTGAAAGAAATCCTATCGATTATTTCTTTGTTTCCAGGTCATGTGTAACAAAGCTGTCAGAAGCCTATGTATTTAAGTCAGAAATACACGCTCTAACTTTGCTTTTAGGATTATATAAATATAGAATATTTATTATATCAGGTATTATATTACTATATTGTAACGATTAGACCAAATGATTAGACGCGCTGTAGTGTTTTAATAATTACGTGTTTTGCACGAGTTTATTTGCAATACTTTTATATTTAAACATATATGTAATGGGTTTTTATTCAGGAGAATTTTTCATATACTTCCTATTTGCATTTATTTTTAACGTACTGCATTACAATGTTAACCTACTGATACACGAACATAAACAAGTGTAAAGTGGTTTTAGCCACGTAAAAACAATAAAGCCGTATAGTGTGTGTATATATATATATATATATATTGCGAGAATTAAAGAGTTTTTACTTAAAAAAAAGTCCTTAATCGTTTTTTGTTTTACATNACGTCTATATATATATATATATATATACACACACACAGTAGACTCTCGATAACTCGAACTTCGACATCGAAAATCTTGTTATGTCAAAAAATATTTTTCCCCTTGGCATTACATATCCACTTAATGTTAATTTGAATTCCTATGTCGAAGAGTTTCGATTCAAAATCTTGTTATGTCGAATATTTTAAGAAATAGAAAATTTATTTTTAAATTTTGTTCCTTTACTAAACGATAAAAGTAGTTACCAGAAATCGCTACAAACTACTGCGCTACAAATTGCACTACTTCTTTTAAAAAGTAACGGACTACACCAAAAACTACGAAAATAAATTGCGACTACAGTAGTTTTGGTACTTATAGCGCACTACCTCCAAACGTCGGTTTCATTCAAATGATTTTTTTATTTAGGGGTACAAGTATCTACCTTCACCCGCGACAATATCATTTTTCAACATGTATTTTTATAGAAAAGAAACGAAGCCCCGCAATGGACTGATCGTTATGACACGGTTCCCAGCAGATCACAGAAGTCAAGCATCACTGGCTGCGGTTAGTGTGCGTAAGGACCGAGAGTGTGCGGTATTGGTCCTCGTTAAACTGTTCTACCGTAGAGTGCTTGACTTTGCTTGCAGGTCGTCGGGCTACCGAAGCAGGGTGACATCCCCTCTGCAGAGGATCAAAATTGTGATGGCATGTCTTCGGCTCATCCCCAGGGATGTTTCACATATCATCGCCAATAACCCATTGTAAAGAGCCGCGATGGCTCAGGGGATAGAGCATTCGCCTTCCCATGAGGTGAACCAAGGTTCGATCCCGGCGATGGCTGGTCGATATGAATTCCGCATCAGGGCTGACGTGAAATATCCTCAGTGATAGCCTGATCATGGGTTTGAGTCCCCTTGTCGTCAGGCTAACCGTGAGGCGCTCTCGTGATCTTCCTCTCCATGCAACGCAAATGTGGGTTAGCCCCATCAAAAAATCCTCTACGAAGCAATGTTTCTCAATACTTGATACAGGAGTTCCCTTGTCCAAAATTGGGTTCAAAATTACAAGGCTATGGAGTTGAACATTAGTAGCCGTAAACCCAAAAAAAATTGGATCGGTTGCTCAACGACGGTTGTAAAATAAAAATAAACTAGCCCATTGTGCAGCTCTAGCGCGCGACGTAAATGAACTACAACTACAAGAAAAGAAACGAAAAAAGAAATTGCTTACTTTTTAAAATTAATAAAAATAAGAGCATTAATTCCTATGATAATAATTTCATTGAGCTTGAGAATGAAAACTGTTTTCTTCATATTCATGATAAATGCTATCAAGTTTCAGAAAATGAGAAGCATGTATAATTTTCGAATCAGGTATAATTGGGGAAATTAAAGTAATTCAGCAATCTTTGCGTTACGAGGAAATATTTTTGAAATGATAATGGCTGTTATTTAACCTTCAAATTACGCTGTGTTTAAGAACAAATAAGTTGAGTGTGTTTTCCAGCTTTGATATAGGATGTCTCAATAATTAGCAGTTATTTATACTCATATTACATATTATTCCACATTTTAGTTAGCGCTTATTGTTTGTATAAATTATTATTATCTTAAAATAAAATTTTTCAAGTTAAATATTATTAGGAACTAATCACTGAACAAAAAAATAAATAAATAAAAAAAATCAGTGTTACTTTTGGTCAACATGTTAACCCCCAAAATAGCCGAAATCTAATAAATAGGTTCCCTATTGTTTGTGCGGGAGAGCGAACCAAAGTTTGGACCCCTTAATGTTAATTTTACTTTTTACATATTTCACCATATCTCGAAAACTTTTTAAAGCAAATTGAAAACATTTTGCTTAGAATTATAAAACTCTTTTATATAAAGATAATTCTAAGCAAAAATTAAATTTTTGTAAATATTTACTATTTATTATTATTATGTCTAATAATGGTCGAAAATGTTTGAATTGCAAGACATACAATTTTATTTACATAATATTAAAGAACATAATTTTAAATGGGTAAATACAAACATTTGAGCGAAATCAGTTCAGAAATCAAATTTAAAAATAAGCAACTTTTAAAAATTTAATTTTTCAGGAACTATTCGACCGATTTCACCCAGATTTTGAATTTTGCCAGAGAGAATTTCGTTCTTTTAAATTATGTAAAAAATTTGCATACTTTACAATTCTAAACTTCTTTCAACACCATTAATAAATAAAATGGCAAAAAATAATAAATAATTTTAAAAATTATTTTTATGGAATTATCTTTTTATAAGCAACTTTAATAACTGTGCAAATTTTTTTTAAAAGCTCTCAGATCTAGCGAAATGCGAAAACACTGAAATTCAATGGCAAAATTCAAAATTTTGACGAAATCGGTTTTATAGTTCCCGAAATGTAAAATATTGAAAATTGTCGACGTTAATAAGAAACGTAAAATATGATGTAACATTACAGAATGCATAGAATCTAAAAATGAAAG